ACCTGTTTTGCTACCTCTGCAGTGAGGTGTATGAAACCAGTACATTCATCTGTATCAAAAGTAATAGCTTCCAGGACCTGGACTGGCGGACCGTATTTGTAGCCATACTTTGCCAACTCGCTGTAAAGTTCTTCACGCTCCATATGTTTGCCAGTACGTATACGCACATCCTCAATCGGAACTATGTGCTTGTGTGCATGATAACCGTTTGTAACGGATCCTTTAGCAACGATTATCGCATCCTTTGCAATAGTAAATGTTACATTTGTCAAACCATCTTTCGTTTCTGTGACTTCCGTTGACATATCAAGAGAAGAAGGCTTTCCTTTCGACAAGGGAATGGCTTTTATGATTTCATACTCGACATGCATACTTTCAGCAGCCATACCCATCACGTTCATTCCAAGTTCAAATGCCACCTCAGTGTAAACTGCGCCTGGAATGATAATGGCGTCATCTATGACGTGCTCATACACAAAAGGAGTTCCATTCGGACTGAAGTTGACTTTGAATTCCCCTTCCTTTTCTTTTTGTGTCAACATGAGGTATCTACCTGAGGAGTCGTCCATCAATCCTTGCTTTCTGAGGAAACGGTAATCGGACTCTACCATCAGTTTTTGGCCATCAAACTGGTATTGGGGCATGTCTGTTAGGTTTTGTTTCTCCACGATATTTTCCCAGACTGGATTTACACCCAATACATACAAGTCGCTTAATGTAGTATGCACTTGTGACGTACCACTATTTAGTTTCATAGAGGGAATTGTGGTGACATCTATGTCTTGAAAAATGTCTCTTAAATGCGCCTTCAAAACGGGTTTGGGACCGATTTCCAGGAACACAGTTGACTTTTCGTTTGACGCTTCCCGAAGTGCCTGGTGGAACAATACTGGTCTAGCGACATTCTGCTGCCAGTACTGCGGCGTACCGAAATCGTCCAATTGTCCCCCCGTCACTGTGGAAAATATTGGTATATTTGGTGCATTCACTTCAATACCTTCTAAACGTTCCTGAATGCGTTGAGCCGCTTTCTCCACCTTATAACTGTGGTAAGCGCAATCTACTTTCAAGTCATGGAACATTGGTATTTCATTCGTCAGTTTGGCATTGTCTATTATGAGACTTTTTACTGCTTCCACTTGCGTGTCACCACCGGATAATGTGCATGCGACAGGACTGCTATGAACTGCAATATTGACACGGCCAACCTTGTCACATATTTCTGCTACTCTTGAGGTACTTGTATTCCTTATCACCATCATTCTGCCTCCTGATGACTCTGCAAGAAATTTAGATCTGTAGTAGATGACATTGACTGCATCCCTCAGGGAAAGTACACCACCACTGCAGGCAGCGGCCACCTCACCTACAGACTGACCAACGATCGCGTCAGGACAGATACCCCATTGCTTCCAGAGGTACGACAGTCCAATTTGACATGCAAATATACCGATATGACTAATAAATGGGTCCTCCATTTCTGCACCGTCTCGTAACTTGTCCAAAATCGACCATCCGGTCAGCGGCGTCAGAAATATATCAATACTTCTCAAAGCGTCGGCAAACACAGGGAAGTCTCTGACAAGTTCTATTCCCATTTTGGTCCAAGCCGTTCCAACGCCACAGAACACGTAGACTATCTTGTAATTCTTGCCTGGTGCAATTGAGCTGTTTGATATCATATCTATCGAATTATTGCAACTTTTGATAAGATCTGAAATACTTGATTCGGTGAACAGTTTTCGGTATCGATGATGATCCCGTTTGCAAGAAGCTGTGTATGCTAATTGTTTCAAATCGCATTGTTCTTCTGACAGTGTTTTAACCATATGCTTCATCGTGTTTACTAGACAGGTTGGAGATTTAGCTGAAATGGGAACATGAGTCAATTCATTGCCGGTGTTTGGGATAGCAAAAGTAGATTTTTCAACCCATTGCCGGACAAATGCATGACAATTTGTCCCACCAAATCCGAAACAGTTAATGCAAGCAGCTCTTGAACCGTCGTTAAGTGTAGACCATGGTGAAACTGATGTAGGTACATCGAGTTCATAATTCTCAAAGTTTATCTTAGGATTTCGAGGAATTGAATGAAGGGATGGTACAATTTTCCCATACTTCATCATTAAAAGTGTCTTGATGATACTTGCAGCTCCAGCTCCAGATTCGAGATGTCCGATGTTGGTTTTGACGGACCCGATGAATCGCTGTTCTGTCACGTCCTCATGCTGTATCGGATAATCTTTAAAGAAGCTACCAAGACTGTTGACTTCAACGGGGTCACCGATAGGCGTACCGGTACCTGCGGAAGAAGAAGAAGCACACATACATGTTTTTTCTTAAAATCCGGATGTAAGATTTTTTTGTGTAATATTGGAACAATTACTTTTAACATGTTCTTTTGAATGACTTTAATCATAAATACTGTCATTTTGGCTGTTATTTTAGATCAGTTTTCAGGTTACAAGTGTAATATTTATACTAAGTG